CCCTAAGCCCTGAACCCTAAACCGCTGTGGCTATCGGGCAAGCTCTTCAGGATGTCGTGTCCGTACAGCCCTAGACCCCGAACCGAAATCCTGAAGACCCCAAATCCCAAACACCGCTGGCCCTAAACTTATAAACCCCTTAACCACTCTTAGGTATGCTAATATAGGGGCCTTAATAATTGGATAGGGTGTTGGTATATTTGCCTGTAAAGTAACCCTAATTCAGACTCCGAAACCCCCTGAAACCCACAAGGCCAAACCAGTGTTTATGGGGCCCCCCAAAAAGCACATAAGCAAAAATTAGGATAGGGATATCCCAGATAATTCCTCTTATTATGAAGCCCAATAAGGTAGGGATATCCCGATAAAATGCTTATGCTTATGTCCTTTTTGGGGTCCTAAGTTTAAGTTCACAGCAAAGCCACGGCAAGCTCTGATGCCAACCCGTTTGCGACATGCTCTGCCAAACGGATCACACTTCAAGGCTTCCGGGGCCCTAAGCCCTAAACCCTACATTAAAGGAAACTACAGGTGGGGACTTTAGGGTATATAGGGCTTCTAAAAGGCTTCTATATAAAGTATATAGACCTTCTATAAGGCTCCTATAACGGTAACTACCCACCTGAAACTGTCCTAGACTCAACGTTCAGAGTTTCGGGTTGACGAGTGGGGCTTTGGGGTTAGCGGTTTAGAGGTGTTGTGGCATGAAGAGGCAATACAAGGGGTGAGCCCCAAGCATTATCATCAAAGGCAGCAAGCGAAGCAACGAAACCCAACTGCTGCCTAAGCATTGAGATTGAGGGGCGTACTGGCTAGCATGAGTCTGGTGCTTACCGTTTGTATTGAACTGGTCCAAATACTCTGAGCGCATTTAAGGTCCAAGTCATAGTGTATATTTCGGCACAATCGGAATCGACTAGAAAGTGTTTATTATGCGTATTTCTCGAGTGCTTGGTCCCGCAATCGCATGCAAACCCTCAACCGCAAGTATTGAACCCGTGTACAGTCGCCACCCCACTAAACCCATGAACCTAAACCGTAACGTAGGAGCCTAAATAATTACAGTACCAATACTATTTTGGATGGGGTTCCATATAATGTTTATAGTATAGTGGACCCATGCAACCCTAAACCCTTACAGCAGCCCTTATAGAACTGTCAAAGGAACCCTTTCAAGGAACCCTGTTCTAATTATTAAGGCCTCTTATAGTATTACAGTACCTACCCAGGCACTGCTATATCCAAAAATATAAGGGTCTCAGTGATTATAACGGGGTTTTGGTGGATATTTGAGTATAATATGCATAACTCTGGCATAAGGCACCCTACACCCCTAATATAATGCTTAGTACATGAACTCAAACCCGAAACCCAAGACTCTAAACCCTCCACCTGAACCCTAAACCCCTAAACCCCTAAACCCCAAACCTTCAACTCTAGACTCCAAACCCTTATGCAAAGCTTCTTGAGGTTCCCTGCCTGCGTACCCTTCCGCACGTCAAACACGGCGATCCTGGACAGGTTCCAGGAGGTGTTCATGTAGGAACCTGATTAAGAAACCCTGGGTCTTTATTAGGGTTCCTTGTGCGAATCCTACTATTTTGGGCCCTAAACCCTAAACCCTCGCCCAGGGTTTCTGAATCAGATTCCAGGAGGTGTTAGGACACTTTGCGGATCGAGGTTAAGGGTTTGGGGTTTCAGGGCGTCCGTGTTCATGAAAGGGTTTACCTGGACCCCAAAAGTAGGTAAGATAATGGCCCGAGACCTATCAGAGGCTATTCTTCTATACATACTTTCGTAGGGGGTTTAAGGGTTTAAGGTTTAGGGTTCTGCAGTTTGGCGTTGAGGGCTTGGTGGGGCCTTTTGATTGAGTCGCAGGGGTTGTGCGGAGCCAAAGAGCTACCATGTCCGGATCAGCACCCAAAGGACCCCGAGCATTGCCCCACTGCTCCTCCGTGGACATGGCCATCCCACTCTCCGTTGCTACTGTCGTCAAAAGGCTTTCCTACTCAAAGGGTCCTATGTACCTATATAACAGAATGTAGGATCTGTACATTAGGAATTGCTATCATGATTTAGGGAAGTATCCCCCCTGAAAAGTACATAGGACCCTTTGGGATAATTTGGTCCTGGTACGTGCGAAGCCAAATTGCGAAACTCTGATAAACGCAAAACCCCCAAACCGAGGAAGCAGCATAAAGCCTAAACCCTTAGCCCCTCAGGCTGTACTCCCTAAGCCATGAATCCTGAACCTTAAGCCCTAGATCCTGAACCCTAAACCCTAAATCCTGAACCCCAAACCCGAAACCCAAAATCCTAAACCCGAAACCCTAAACCCTAAACCCTAAACCCTAAACCCAAACACTAAACTTTAAACCCCAATCCTAAACCCGAAACCCTAAACATCCAATCCCCGAATCTTTGACTGTCACGGCCTGGAGGACACATAGCCCGCCAGCAAGCGAGTGGTATCCGCAGGCACCTTCCGAGTCCAGGTTTTCTGAAGGTTTAGGGTTTAGGGCTTTAGGGTTTTAGGGTTTAGGGCTGCCGGTTTCCGGTTTCGCGTTTTGGGCTGTATGAGGCTTAGAGCTCCAGGGTAGCGGATTCACTGCTGGGGGCTCCGTCGAAGTCTACGTCTCCGTCTCTTCTCTCTCTCTCTCTCTCTCTCTCTCTCCCTCTCTCTCTGTAAGTGACGGTTCACCGACGGCCTGCCCAAACTATCTCAGAGGGTTCACAGATGATAGTTGCGGGTGTGGGCATGGAGCGGGTTTGCATGAATGGTTTAGGAGCTGAGGGCTTAGAAACAAAAGGCAGGGTCTCATAATGGAGCGGTTCTCGAATCTTGCTCTGGGAATGAATCTAAGCCTTTGTGTTGGCTGTGGGCTCCAACCAGAAACTCCGAACCAGCAACAGAGGCAGTCCTAACAGTCGTGGTTAAAAGGTATTGGGACCGTTATTTAGGTATTTAGGTAAAAAAAAAAAAGCAGTTCGCAGTTGCCAAGTAGGCTGTAGGGTTCAGGGTTCAAGGTCTAGGTTTAGGGTTTAGGATTTAGGGTTTTAAGGTTTCGGGCTTAGGGCTTATCGTTTGAGGATGGTTCTGAGCTAGCCTATCTTCAACAGGCCTTGCTCTGACTTGAGGTTGAATATGGGTCCTTGCCTAACTGGGCTTTGAAGAAACCAGGGAGAAAAAAGTATAGACTTCTATTTTATAATGGTTCCTTTAAGGAACAGGTCCCCCAAAAAAGTATTAAAGTATGGGACTCCAAAGCCAAGTTAAAGGCCGTACACTTCTATTCCGCGTGGAAGCACAAGCCAGAGCTTGTGACAAGGCCCCTGGACGTGAATTGGAAGCCTGGAACGATCCCAACTAGGGCTTCGAATTTTCTGAAATCTTCCATGAGACACCCTCGGGCGATGAATGGCATTCTAAGCTATTAATACAAGTATCTTGCATGGGTTTAGGCTTTGAGGTTTAGGGTCTAGGGTTTTCCTAGAACTGACCTTCCGGAATGTTCAGAGGCTTCGGGCTTTCGTGACGGATTGATCCCTTGGGAGAACTCTCGCTACCCTCATGCCCTATAAACTGAAAGCCCAAGAACCCTAAACTCCTTAATTAATTAATCCTAGGCCCCAAAACCCAAAATCCTAAACCCTACAAGAACCCCTAGAGTAATCTCATACTACACTTATGGACTTATAACAGAACCCTAAGAGACAAAATAGGACCCTCCAACTTCTGCCCGCTGCGAAGGCGCCCAGCAGACAGTCGTCGGCACGTCCAACTCTTCGGATGACCCTGGCGAAAGCAGGTCTGAGGGATTTTTTGGTAGGTGTAGGGTTTAGAGGTTTAGGGTTTAGGGGTTTAGAGTTTTTTTTAATGTGCAGTGGCCTTTTCTCCGCAAAGCCTGCCTCAGTCGGTTTTGAGTTTTAGGCTTTTCTTGGGGGGGGGGATTCCTTTCGAAGGATCTGGAAGGAAAACCTAAACCCTAAACCCTAAACCCTAAACCCTAAACCCTAAACCGATTCAGGGTGCCATTTAGCTTGAGGGGTTTCCTACAGCTTATACGTTAACGGCTGGGACTCTAGGGGTTTCGGGTTCAGGGTTTAGGGTTTAGGGTTTCGGGTTCAGGATTTAGGGTGTAGGGTTTTGGGTTTAGGGTTTAGGGTTTCGAGTTTAGGACTTAGGGTTTGGGGTTTAGGATTTATGGTTTAGGGGCTGCGTTTTTGTTGTTGAAGGCCTCTTATTCTGCTTGGAGGTCTCGTAGATGCAGTCTGTGGTCTTGGATACATTGTCTTTCCTCTTGTGGGGAACCGCCATCATCACACTGGTGCCCCGAAAAGGGTACCGCACCTCACCTGGATGAGGGTCTGTAGTCGGGTTTTGGGTTTAGGCTTGCGTGGGTCGGGAAGGGAGGTTGGATTAAAGGTTCTCCAGCATAGGATTCTCGAAAGTTTGGGGTTGTGTCATGACCTCACTGTAGCGTATGCCCATACCCTACATTGTAGTCGTCGTTTAGTGGATTAATGACTATTGACGGTTTATAATTGGTTCATCCCGTAATACGGGAGCAAAGAAACCAAACACAGCGGCCAATTTCTTGTACGTAGGCATTCAGAGTGTCCTGAGTCCTAGGGCTTATAATGTTTAGTAGAGGGGCCTTAACTTAATGATTAGAATAGCGTTTGTGTTGTGCCATATTATGTGTATGTATGTATGTATATATATATATATATATATATATATCTCTCTCTCTCTCTCTCTCGCTCTATCTATCTATCTATCTATCTATCTATCTATCTATCTCTCTATCTATCTGTCTATCTATCTGTCTGTCTATCTATCTGTCTATCTATCTACCTATCTATCTTTCTTTCCTTCTGTCTATCCATCTCTCTGCCTGTCTGTCGGTCTGTCTTCTGTCTGTCTGTCTGTCT